CAAATCTAAACTACAAATCTCTGGCCATTAAGACTGAGAACACCAACACTTCGTCCCGTTTTTTGTTATAACACTTATTATTATATAATTTTAGAAAAACTATATTTACAGCTAATATAACCTCAGATAAAACACATTTATTTATTTTATTGTTTTTGTTTCCTCTGAATGAGAATTATGTGACCAAACGGTTAATACACACAAAAGACAACTGGATTTATAAACTGGTGCTAAAAAGTTCATAATTAAATTATTTGTATTATAAACAGATGCCAAACGATTATGATTTAGATTTTATTGAATTACTATATTTGGCGGCAAAACAATTGATATATAGTTACAAACAATTATAATTAGTTTTATTTAACATTCATTATCTGTTTTTAGGTATTGATTGTCGAGATTTAATAATTTACTCAATTATTACTAAACACTGAACACATCTACAAATCGATGTCAGAATAAGTCAGTGATTATTCCCATTGAATAAAAGGCCAGAAATGTGTTGTAATATTTGAATTGAATTTGATTTGAATAGTAATGTCATTGATTTAACGCCGATATAATCGCAGCTTAAAGTTATAGTCAAAGAATTTACTTATTATTACGAAATATAATCGACTCTATTATACACTCACATAAAGTTATATAACTATTCAAACACTCACCCCTTAAAACACAAATTAATATAAAACCTAATCTGTTGTATATTTTTTACATAAAAGTCATTAATAAAATCAATTCCAATAATTATTTATACTTTTAGTTTATAAATCATTTCAAAAATTAAAGAATCAAAAAATATTTTATTATTTAATTTTAATTATAAAATTAATTATTATTTAAACAAATTATTTGTCAAAAGATGGCAATATTTGTCCCATAAGTGACACTTTTTTGAGTCAAATCTAAAGTTCAGTTATTGTTATTCACTCTTATGGCCAACAGATGGCAATAATGTCTCCACAACTCGATTTAAATTGAGTGAAACCTAAAATTGACTTTTTATAGAGTATTGTATCGATCAATAGATGGCGCCATCGGTTCCATTAGATAACATTTGACTGAAACATACAGTGCATTATGTAGTCAACAGATGTCACTATTTGTTCCATAAAGGCATACAAATTGCAATCATTTCACTTATTTACAGGACATCACATTACATGACTTCTCGTCAAACTATGTTTAAAATACTTTTTAAATATATTTAATAGATTACAAAAAAAAATAATATTTTAAATCAGAAATTTTACTTCTGTTTTGCAAATTTTATAAATATATTCAGCGCTTATATTCAATTAAATGCAACCATTGATACACAATATTATATACATTATATATTTATATCATTTATTATATTCTATAAATTAAAAACTTAATTATATTTTTAATCAATAAATTAAAAACCAATAATTCTTAAAATAAATAAACTTTTGATTCGTTTAATATATAAAACAATTATTTAATTTAAATAACAATTCGTTTAGTATTAAAATGTATGTGAAATCAAATAAAACTAAAAACACTAAAAACAATTAAATATCGAAATCATTGACTAAGAAATGGAAAACAAAGGCATCCCTTTGGCGGTGATGTGACGGCAGATGGGATCTGAAAGAACTGTTATTATCAGTGCTTTGTGTGAAGTTTGGATGAATAATGCTATTCCTCTCGTTAAAGGCTGAGCTCTCGGGAGATCTCAATAAAACGGAACCAAAAATTGACGCTTAAATTGAAAACAAAGAATCCAATCATTAATTCAATTCAATAATAATATTGTATTGTATTCTAAAAATTGAGTGTTTGTTGTACTGACCCAATAGTTTAACGTCCAGTTTATTGCTATTTGAATGCCTTAAGAGTTCCCTAAAAAATGCGATTAAATAGTAGAAGACATTCCTGTGATGTTCTGGTATTTCATTCACGACCTAAACATTTAATTTGTTAATTAAATTAACATTTAATTACGAGGCAATGAATATCTCACTTGTTTTGAGTTTTGAAAATTATTGCTACTTTCGATGGATCGGTCGTAAAAAGCAAAGGGTATGACCGGCTCTGACAGCGCTTCCAAAAACAAAATCAGACTCTCGGCTAACGAATGGACGCCGACATTGATTTTGTCAACAAATCCTGTGTCCAATGCGTTACGGATGACCACAAACTCTGTGTTAAGGCCCGAGTGTTGGAATAATTCATTGGTTAACATTCCGTATTTGTACAGTTGGTCCACAAGAATCCACAACTCTTTAGGTATGTCCCAAACGGGTGGCATATCGTCGCCATATTGTCTTTGTTCCAACCTTTTTAGCACATCTTTAGAGACCTGATTGAGTGGACACTTGAGTCGAACCAATGTCTCAATAGCGCAACCGAAGCAACTCCTCTCATAACTGCCCGTCACTGTTATGAACAGATCTTTGCCTCCGTCTAAATGCAACACAAGAA